ACTGATTTTGGGGGATGCTATGTAGTCTTTGTGAGATTCAGCTTCCTTATCTAAAATAACAGCACTAACTTATAGCTTGTTGTGGGGTTCTAAGTGCTCACTTGGTAAATATTAGCCTCTATGAAATAATTTGTGTGGTTAGTTTTTGATGACAAAGGATTTCTTTCCCCATGGCCCCTTTCCTCCATTTAGAATGAGGTTGTTTTATTGCTTTTATTATTATTGTTTGTCATTTTGTATTAGTACTTTCTAATTGAATGTTTTTCAATTTCAAACCTTTCATTGGAAAGAGAGATCATGCTCTTCCTTTTAATACTTACTAACTACTGATTTTCATGTTTTCCTTGAAACTCAGCACAGTCTTCTGGTTTCCGTGACCCTATGCTCAGTTACGTTGCACTCATGGCTCAGGCCATGATGCACCTGGATTCCACTTTGCGTACAGTCTATTAGTTCAGGGCAATTTGCTTTCCTCTCCCCAACTTCATTCATACCCAAATATATTATTTTGAAATATTTTATTTATTTATTTATTTGACAGAGAGAGAGAGAGACAGCGAGAGAGAGAACACAAACAGGGGGAGTGGGAGAGGAAGAAGCAGGCTTCCTGCTGAGCAGAGCACCTGATGTGGTCTCGATTCCAGGACCCTGGGATCATGACCTGAGCCAAAGGCAGCCGCTTAACCACTGAGCCACCCAGGCACCCCCAAATATATTTCTAAATATCTTGTTCTGTTCCCAGTCTCAAAATATCTTTTATATGACCTTTAAAAATAGTGTCCATTTGGAAACTCAGGGGCTTTCACCTCATTAGCTCCTCTGTACCCCCTGACTCTCCCAGTCTCCCTCAGTCTTACCTTCTGTTCTAACCCAATTTTTTTCCCTTGGTCACATGTTTTAAATGTTTTAGCGTCACATGTTTTAAATGTTTTAGCGTCTGCATCTTTCCTCAATCTGTCCTTATGTATGACACAGGCTTCTCTCTTACTTTCCTATACCATGACTCGTGATTTTTCAAGATACTTCCTCTGAGAAGATTTGTTACAGGTAGAACATTTTGCCTGCAAACAGTCCCTAACCAGGTATCCCCTTTCTATTAACTCATTCCTAGATTTACTTAAATGGAATCACATAATTTTGGAGCTTTTATCTATCTTAGATATAAGATAGAGACTGTTTACTCTGGATATAGATATATCATATATATAAGGTGTAGATATATCTATATAAGATACAGATATTTAGCCTAATTTCCTCATCTTGCAAATAAGAGTGCTGAGGCCCAAGGAGATCATTACAAGCATTGCATTTAAGTCTATAAGATTACCTAGAAGGAATGAATGAATAGTCGTGTTTCAAAGGGAAATAAGCAATAAAACAAAACTAATGGAATGAGAGAAAATGCCTGATATGGATGCTTACTCATTTCACTAATTTTTTTAAAAGCCATAAAATACTAAGGCTCAAGATAGAAAAGAAAATGAAAAACTAGGGGCCAAAACTCCTAGCAAAATTTAATTAAAAAAAAAAAAGAAGAAAAATTAGTCACACTTTTTTTTTTTTTGGTCATTTGAGAAAATTACAATTTTTTGTTACTTTTCCTCACTTTTCAACTGGTAATGTGAATTGCATGAAAAATAAACAAAATAATTAAACATTATGGTTTCATTGCAATGCTTGCTGGTGTAGATGTATAAAAGAACAATCCATGGATTTTGCAATCAGATCTAGGTTTTGATTCCCAAGGGCATCAGTTTACTCATTTGCAATATCATGAGTTGATGTAGAAATAAAAACATCTGGTAACAGACCTTGAGTCAGACGCATATTTTAATGCAACATTCCCAAGAGGCAATTTAATCAAGACAATCTTTCTCTTCTATTTCCCGTAGGAGTATAAGACGTAAATGCAAAGCCTGACATCAATACAGGTCTGTATTTCATTGACTTTGTCTCTGGGGGATATTTTGTGCATATCCAGTGAATTCATATGAGTTTTAATACAGCAGCTTTCCCTGGAAGAAGTTGGAGCACTGCACAGATATAAAAAGAATGACACAGTTAGAAGTATTGTAAGAATTTCCAAAACGCAACAGACACATGAAGTGAGCAAATGCTGTTGGAAAATGGTTGCCATAAAACTTTGATTTGTTAAAAAAAAAAACATAGTGTCTGTGAAGCACAATAAAGTGTGATAAAACAAGGTATGCTTCTTTGTAACATTCTGGAAAAGGCAAAATTTTGTGGAATAGAAAAGGGGTGAGAATATCCAGCTAACAGTAAAGAAATAAAACTAATATGAATAATCAGATTCCATTTTCAAGTAGAATTCTCTAATTCAGAAGGGAATCAGAGATACACAGAATTCTAATGGCCATTTTCTTTCAACTTTTTTTTTCATTTCATTCCTTTCTACAGCCAAAATCAGAAAGAAGGTGAATGGTACTATCATGCCTTAACAATTTAACTTGGAAAGAGAGAAAAGTATTTCTAAAACTCTATCATAGGTCCAGCTCACTGCTTAGTTTAGTGTAGTTTAGTGGACAGACTGGCTTGATTCTTCCTCCCCCTGTTACTCAGTGTGGGGCTCAAATTTTATAACCTGAGCTTCGGTTTCCTCTTATGTGAAGTGATCACATTAGTCACATTAGTCACCCACCCTCACAAGTACTTAAATATTTGACATAGTACTTGGCACATGCTAAGTGTTTAAAACTTCTAGCTATTATCATTTTACTCTGAATTTATAGAAACTACATCATCATTATGCTCTTGTACGAAAACAGTTGATAGATTTTTGTTCTTGGGTTTCAGAAAACCCAGTGGTTCCATAGTTAGTATTTAGTGTGTACATTTATTTCTTCTTCAGTCACTTTAGATCCGTTGGTGACTGTTGACTTTACTGTTAGTTCATTGACATATATTGATAAAAAAAGAATTTTTATTTGGTTCATTAGTTATGTAAAGATAAGGAATCAGCAGCCTATGTAGCTGAATGAGGATCTTAGAGATGGCCATTTCAGCAAATGTGCTGACAAAGAAGCCCCTACGTATTACAGCTGTTCTCAAGCAGCAATTTATTTCCATAGCACCTAAGTGAAGAAAGACAAAATTTCCCATTAGTCCCCTGAAGCAGAAAAACGTTTAAAATTCCAGGTTTGGGTAAGGAAAGGTGATGATATTTTCCAATGTATGTTCAAAGTTGGTTTTAGAATTTTTTTCTTTATTGACAAAAAAGTCATTATGAGGTAGAATTTGAATCCATATGCACATTCACCCTGTAAAAAGTTCGGTCTGTGTTTGAATTACAGGACCAAACATGCAAGTTTCTATAATCAAAATGTCATTTTTGCTTAGTTTAGAAGGGAAAATAATGTAATGAAAAGGGCAAACATCTTCTTGGTAAATATGAACTTTGGAGGAGGAGGCCCTGAAAATTTCAAGATGCAAAGTCTTTATGATTAGAAATGAGAAGGGAGGAAATTTAGTTATTATTGACTTATTTGTTTCAGAACTATTTCTTGAAAAACTTGTAAGTACCTGGCACTGTGGTAAATGTGCTGGGGACAGGTTGTATAAAATATCCCCTGCTTCCAAGAAGCTTCAAGAAGCAGAGGAGGAAGAACACAGGGTAGAAAATGTTTCATTAATAAGCAGAAATGGGATGTTGTGGGAACATCACGGGAGGGAAACCATGAGTTCAAAAAAAAAAAAAAAAAAGAAGCAAACAAACAAATAAACTGAATAGAAACAAGGAACTAGTCAGAAAAAGCAAAAACAATTTTAATAAAGAAAATGTCTGTCTTTCTAAAATCAAACACATTTAATACTTTTATAATACACTGAAGTTGTATCTTGTTCCTTAAAATATCTTTGCTCCAAATGATTCTGAGGCTCCAATCACGATTATAGAATACATAAAATTAAATATATTAACATGACACAGCCACTTAGTAGTCTATAAAGTACATTATTTATGACTCCACAAGGCACACATTTTTATACAGGTTAATATGGGTTATATGAAGTGTTTTCAGTTTTCAGGTATTTAGCCCTGCTAGCCAGAGTGAACATTCTTTTAACAGCATACTTTGGTGTCCTTTTTTAAAGAATGGACATTGAAAAAGTTAAAAATGTGTTACTTCGTAGGCACTGATGTATGGAAAATACACTTTGTGTTTTTATATATTGTAAGCTGGAAATGTCTTTTGAGTCACATATAGATTTATGCTCGACAAACACTGAACAGTCTGTGAAGAATGGAAAACCTCATGACCAACAATTCTGATGAATACAATTCAAATATATGCTGCAATACTAATTTGCTTGTTAAATTAATTACTCTGAAATCCTTTGGTTGTCAGGTACCAAAATAGTTTTGAAGTTAGAGAATTGCTTTCCCACTTAATTCTTGTGGGTGGCCCAATTCCCCATGATATTCACAGCTGAGAAGTATTTTTTTAATACATTTTTATCTCAAGTGATAATCAGGAGCAAATTAAATCTGGTCTTACACCAAAAAAAAAAAAAAATATATGCAAACCACTCGGTGACTTCAGACTGTAGGTCTGCAAGACGTAGGCTTAACTCCACATCTCGAATGCTGCTTTTGTATGCTATCACCTCTGTAACAGACTGAAATATGTCTATCATTACATCAAGATTGCCCAGTCCAATGACCATCTAATCTAATCAACACAGGATGGCCTGGCCTAATGAGTTTCAGATGCAGTGCTTCTAAAGTCAGTCAATAGTAATAATTTAAAGAAACTTCATTCCAACAAATTGAATATAAAAGTCTTTGTATCATATGCAGAAGTTTACAAAAAGCACTTTAAGGATGTCTGGTCAAAACTATTGTCAGAAGATTCCAAAGCCCATACATTTTGTCCCAGCGTAATTATGACAGCTACAATAAAAGCAGTAAAAAGCAAGACAAGCAAATCTTGGTCTTTCTTAAATGATTATAACCTCATTCCCTGGGGGAATAGGTAATGAAAAGATGTTACAGGTTGTGCTTGTTTTTAGACAGATGTCATCTGGGACCATATGCTACAGGAGTTTCAGATTTTTTCATTATCATCAGTGTTGATTTTCTTAAATGCGACTGGGCTTGCTTGTTTCAAAGAAGTCTTAGAAACATCTGTGTGCATGGTAGACATGGCTATTGTCTCATAGTCATCATCCCGAGACCGGAAATCACAAAAGTTAAAGAAGAACTGCAAGTCTCTCTGGAAATTTTTGTTCAGAAATCCATAAAATATGGGGTTGACACAAGTGGAAATCATTGCTGTAAGGTGGCACAGCAGGAATAACAGATTGTGGTTGCACGTAGCAATGATCTGATGATTCCAATCAAACACAGTGTTAAAGATGGTAAGGGGTAGCCAGCAGACTGCAAACGCTACTACGATGGACAACAGCATGATGTTGATTCTTTTGGTTTCACTGGACCTGTATTTATTGTCTCTCATCTTGTCCATCATGTTGTTTCTCCTTTTTAAGCGTATATATATCTACAGAGAGGGGAAAAAGAAAAGTTCAAATAGAACCACGAATTTAATATGGAATTCTGTGGAAAGAAGGTTAAAATGGAAGCAGTAGGGGGAAACGTTTTCTTACCTTGAAGTAGCAAATAAATATAAAACAGAGTGGGCCAAAATACTGCAGCATCAAGAGGAGAGTTGTATAAGATAATCTATGGGAGTCCGATGGAAACTTATCAAAGCACACGTATTTGTCCTTGAATGCGTCAAGTGTTACATTCTGGAACGGCTCATCTGTCAATACTTGATAGACGAGGAAAGGTAGAGAAGAAACCACAGCAAGAACCCAAATGACAGCAATACCTACATAAGCATGTCTGTTACTGGGTCTCCACCCTCGCGGGTTGATTATCAGCTGATGGCGCTCCACAGCAATGAGAACCAGAGAGAAAATGGACACGGTGATTGAAACACATTGCACAAAAGGATTCAACTTGCACATTGCCTCACCAAAAACCCAGTGGTCCATTAAGGTGTAGACAAATGTGAAAGGGAGACACATGATGGCAACAAGCAAGTCTGAGAAGGAAAGGTTCACAATCAGGATATTGGTAACATTTCTCATCTCCTTTTGTTTCAAGATGATTATAATTAAGGCCAGGTTTCCGGAGACCCCAAGAATAATTACAGCTCCATAAGCGAGAGCTAATGTAAATATCATGGCCAAGGGCAGATGACAATCATCGCTTTCAAAAGCCAAAAACTGGGAATTCTCTGAAAAATTACAGAAGATTGAATGATTTTCAACCTGGGAAAATAATGTTGAATTCATTTTGATTGGTTTGGTTGTTATAGATTACACTAGACAAATGGAAAATATGTTTCTTCAAAGCAGATCAAATGTTCAGCTTTTTCTTAATTCTCCATATTGCAATCCATTTCTCAAAATTATTCTGAATTCTTCATTCCCTTGAAATGAACAATCTGTAAAGAGAAAATGACCAATGGCATTACTAATTTTATTCAGAGCAGTCAGTATAAATTCTGACTCACAGTACTGTTTTAAGTGAAGATATTGAAATAAATAAACAAATGTAATCTGTAAAAACATCTTTTTAAAATAGCAGAAACAGTGCAAACATTTTTTAAAAAACAATTCTAATATTTTTAATTGGACTTGCAATTACTACATTTTAATTCAGCAAAATGTGGTAGTCTGTAAATTAGTAAGGTGTGTGTAAATCTTACCCCCAAAAGTTTTATAGAAACCAATGTTACAGATTCCTAAACATTATAAAAATATGATTATGGAAAAAAATAATGCACAGATTAACACATAAGCTATGAAATAATGAAAAACAACAATAAAAATTTCCCTTATTCTTCCTCCTACTATAGAAATGAACTAATTCATTAAGTTGTACTAAAAACTCCACCATATACTGAACTGCTCTTTAAGGCAGACATTATTTAGCACAAGTATATGCAAAAGGGGATCATCAATACAGTGAAATATCAGAAACCTTTGTCACTACAAAGAGCTGATATCCAAGATATATAAAGAACTCCTCAAACTCAACACACACAAAACAGATAATCACGTCAAAAAATGGGCAGAAGATATGAACAGACACTTCTCCAAAGAAGACATACAAATGGCTAACAAACAGATGAAAAAATGTTCATCATAATTAGCCATCAGGGAGATTCAAATCAAAACCACATTGAGATACCACCTTACACTAGTTAGAATGGCCAAAATTAACAAGACAGTAAATAACATGTGTTGGAGAGGATGTGGAGAAAGGGGAACTCTCTTACACCATTGGTGGGAATGCAAGTTTCCACCCTTTGGAAACAGTGTGGAGATTCCTTAAGAAATTAAAAATAGAGCTTCCCTATGACCCTGCAATTTCACTACTGGGTATTTACCCCAAAGATACAGATGTAGTGAAAAGAAGGGCCATCTGTACCCTAATGTTCATAGTAGCAATGGCCACAGTCGCTGAACTGCGGAAAGAACCAAGATGCCCTTCAACGGATGAATGGATAAAGATTTGGTCCAGGGTGCCTGGGTGGCTCAGTGGGTTAAAGCCTCTGCCTTTGGCTCAGGTCATGATCCCAGGGTCCTGGGATCAAGCCCCGCATCGGGCTCTCTGCTCCGCAGGGAGACAGCTTCCCTTCCTCTCTCTCTCTGCCTACTTGTGATCTCTGTCTGTCAAATAAATAAATTAAAAAAAAAAAAAACAAAAAAAAAAAAAAAAAAAGATATGGTCCATATATACAATGGAGTATTATGCCTCCATCAGAAAGGATGAATACCCAACTTCTTTATCAACATGGATGGGACTGGACGAGATTATGCTGAGTGAAGTAAGTCAAGCAGAGAGAGTCAATTATCATATGGTTTCACTTACTTGTGGAGCATAAGCAATAACACAGGACATTGGGAGACGGAGCAAAGACATGAGTTGGGGGAAACTGAGGGGGAGACAAACCATGAGAGACTCTGGACTCTGAGAAACAAACTGAAGGTTTTGGAGGGGAGTGGGTGGGGGGTTGGGTGAGGCTGGTGGTGGGTATTAAGGAGGGCACGTATTGCATGGAGCACTGGGTGTGGTGCAAACAATGAATGCTGGAACACTGAAAAGAAATAAAATAGATTGGAAAAAAAAAAAAAACCAACAACAACAAAAAAAACCCCTTTGTCATATGAAGGACTGTGGAAGGGATAGAAGACGTTTAATCCAGAAAAGACTAGGAATGGTATAGACGTCTTCTCATATTTGAATGGGTAGCATGTACCCTAGGGAACTGGGCTTAAAATATCATACCTAACTTTACAAGTAAGAAATAGGACCAGGGAAAGTATAACACAGTGTGTATTAAAAATAAAACAAAACAAATTTCACATAATTATGAGGAACAAAAGTTTAATGAAATAAAATCAACTGCCTGCAGAACTCTGGGATGCTCCATACACAAGAGTTTGCAGCTACCATATGAAAGACTTTTGGGGAGCTCTTACATTGTGTGGGAGATTTAAATGGCTATAACAGAAATTCCTTCTACCTTTAAGGTTCTAGGATTTTAATACATCAGCAGTTTTCAAAGGATTTCTAAGGTTTTATACATGTAAATACCCTCCCTCCCCACTGGACTGTATACTGATACAAGGCAGGGACCTACATGTTTGGGGTAATTTTGATCTTTCACAGCATTTTGTGATACAAAGACTCTTTTCTAACCAACAAGAGAAATTACAGACAGTGGTTTTTAGAGATGAAAAGCTCCTTTTAAAAAAATCTGATTTCCGGGGCGCCTGGGTGGCTCAGTGGGTTAAGCCGCTGCCTTCGGCTCAGGTCGTGATCTCGGGGTCCTGGGATCGAGTCCCACATCGGGCTCTCTGCTCGGCAGGAAGCCTGCTTCCCTCTCTCTCTCTCTGCCTGCCTCTCCGTCTACTTGTGATCTCTCTCTCTGTCAAATAAATAAATAACATCTTTAAAAAAAATCTGATTTCCTCCAGTTTGCTAAATAAATATATGAGATTCAGGGTTTCTTATGTTAATTAACAGGCCATTGTGCCTGTGTTAAGAAAGGGAATTGCATTTATTTCTTTTTTTATATGAGAATAAAGAAAATCATGCAGATTTACTTCCACTTCAAAGGAGATAAGAAATTTAGTGAACATTTGCCTTTTAAGAGGCACATCTAATGAAAATTTCCTTGAGTGCTTTCGCTTTCTAGAATATGAGGTGTTTTTTATTATAAAAACACAACTTGGCTTCAGAAAACTGAAGAATAAAAATAAAGGTTTCTGGGTACCTGGGTGGCTCAGTGGGTTAAAGCCTCTGCCTTCGGCTCCGGTCATGATCCCAGCGTCCTGGGATGGAGCCCCACATAGGGCTCTCTGCTCAGCAGAGAGCCTGCTTCCTCCTCTCTCTCTCTCTCTCTCTCTCTCTCTCTCTCTGCCTGCCTTTCTGCCTACTTGTGATCTCTATCTGTCAAATAAATAAATAAAATCTTAAAAAAAATACATTTAAAAAAATAAAGGTTTCTAACATTTAGTGAGAATGGAAGAATTAAGACTAGGAATGATTTCAAGTGTAAACTTTTTGTTTGTTTTTCCTTTCTTTTCTTTTCTTTCTTTTTTTTTTTTTTTTTTTGTAATTATGTTATGTTAGTTACCATACAGTGTAAACGTTTTTAGAAGTATGGCTCTCCCTTCCTCTGTGCAACAACCAATACATAATGGCTCCTGAACTCATGCAGCCATCACCCTTTATCTCTCAAGAATGCCAAAGGCATGGGGTACGTGGTTGGCTCAGTCCGTTAAGCATCTGCCTTCAACTCAGGTCATGACCCCAGGGTTCAGGGATTGAATCCCACATAGGCTCCCAGCTCACAGAGAGTCTGCTTCTCCCTCTTCCACTCCCCCTGCTTGTGATCTCTCTTTCTGTGTCAAATAAATGCTAAAGGCAGAGAGAATAATCTTCTCAGTGTCTGAGAACGAACCTTGAAGAAGTAAGTAATAATCTAACATTTCTTTACAAATTCCTCACTGAAGAATTCAAGAAAATTTTCCCATCATACCTCATATTCGTGTTGCTGTCAAGTTATTCAACATGACTTATTAGTTAATTGTGAGTTTCTCTTCATTATTTAAAGTAAAACTAGCTTGATTGGAAAGTGCATCCTCTTTATCCCACAACTTCTCATGGCTCCCTGTCACTACACACACCAGAGAAATAAGTATCCTGGAAAAAGACACTATGAGTACATTCCTCAGCCTAACACTTAAAGACCTCTACATTTTGCTTCCCTTTGCCTTTCACTTCCTGCCCCAAGAGCCCCATGGTGAATGCTCTGTTCCAAGTGGGTCAGTGTCTTCACAGTACACCAAGTGCCCCCCAGCCTGTTTTAGCTTCTGCATTCATCTCTGTCTCTGCCATTGCTCTTGCTGGGTACTCTATCTCATCACCAATTCAAATGCTACCCATCTTTCAAAGCACCATTTAGTGCCCCTGAATCTTTAACAGGCTCGTCCCAATTACTCTATAATCTTTTTAAGGTAGGTAGTGTATATACCTCATAACACCTTCCAAATACTAGATTTAGAACAAAAATGTGTTGACTGACATTGTAGGCTCATGGCTGGAATAGTACATTCTTGTGTGAATTAATCCTAACATCAATAACTGAATTCTGTCATAGTCCTTTTACATGGCTGATGGATACTAATTACAATACTCACTATATTAGGTCAGGTATTTAAGGGGAAATATTCCATTTCCATGTTTATAAAAAAGGAATTGTTTCTGAAAGAAAATTCATTCATCCAGTAAATATTTATTGAACACTTAGTTTGTGTCAGGCATGGTTTTAGTGGAGACAACAGTGACCTTCTCTTTGAGTTTCTAGTCTTGTGGACAAAGAAAGCCAAGAAAAAATAAATTGGCAAAAGGGAAAGTATGGCAGATGGTAAGTGTTACACAGAAAAAGCAACGAAGGGGAACTGGGGTTGTTGGAAGTTACACTTTGTTACTGGGTGGTAAGGAAGGCCTCTGCTTGTCTGAAAAGATGGCATATGAACTAAGACTTGAAAGTGGTGAGTGAGGAAGCCATGTAGATATGTCAGGGACTGCATCCCATGTGAAAAGAACAAACATAAAATCCTTAAGGCTGGAGTGTTCCTGGTATGCTAAAGAGCAATGAGAAGTGCAATAAATAAGGGAGAGACTAGTAGAAAGTTAATTAGAAAGGGTAAACTGAAGAGGAACAGATTACATTAAGGACTTATTCCATGGGACAGTTTGACTTTTTCTTGGGAAAGATGAGGAATCACTGGAGAGTTTTTGGTAAAGGCATGAAGTTATATGGCTTGTTTTAAATGTTACTCTATTTGCTGTTTTCAACAGACTTAAGATAGGAAAGAGAAGAAGGAGAGAGATTCATTAAGAGACTAATACAATAATCCAGATTAGAGATAATGGAGGCACGGACTAAAGTGTTTACCGTGGAAAGGAAGAAAAATAGAAATTTTAAACCCACTGACTTATTTTGACAAATCCCAATACATAATACAGTGTGTGGGCTACAAAGGCAGTTTCTTATGGTTTTAGGTGAATACTGAAATTCAACTCTGACACCTTTGAAATTATATTTGATGGACACGCTCTGGTAAGGAACAGTAGTCTTTCTACTAAGTAGATGTTAAGTTAGCTATACAGAAAATGTAAACTAATTTTTTTTAAGTATTTGCAAAGCTTCCTTTTCTAAGTGCATATATGATAGTCATTCTAGTTTGGTAAAACAGTTCTGCATTGGATAAAATGTGTATTTTCAGCCTACCTTAGTATAACTTCAAGAAAGAATAGTTGTCAGAAAATAATACTGAGAAGGAATTTATATACATTATCTTTTGAAAGGAAAATAATTTGATAGTTACCATCCCGATATTTAAAATAAGATATGCAACTACAGACACTGCAAAAATTAAAGCTTGTTAAATCTCAATATAGCTGTTATGAGCAATTAGAGACAAAATAGAGATACTACATGCATCAATAGTTGGAAACTTGGTCCCCTTTCAAAGGGAAATTTCCTTCTCCTTTCCAAAGAGAATGCTGGCCTTTCACTGCTTGCCTTTCTTAGTGCTGTCACTACCTGAAAATACAAGTTGCTGGTCGTAGTCTGCAGCAGATACATTTTTTCATACCTCAGAACTGTCTGTTCACCTTACTTGTTTTGGAAAAGAAATGCCAGCCTTGTTACACGCAGCCTCCCAAAGTTACTGCTAGTTTATCTGTGTGATTACGTAATCCTGTTTCTTCCTCCCCTGGTTCAACGACAGCTGCCTTAAAATGATAAGGGAAGACTCAGAATGCAGTAGTCACCCCCCGAAAAGCACTCACGCTTTAGTCATAGGTGGGCAGCTGGGCTGGATCTCTTTCTGCTCTCTTCTTCACCAGGGAAGCATTCTAGAGTCTTAGGACTGCCAGATACTGCTTCTACATTTCTGTGCAGGTAGAGACAGGCAGGCTCTGCACGCCCCCCTGCCTGCGTGTCACCTAGTGAGTTAGGCTTTTGCACAGGATCCAGGTGGGCATGACAAATCTGAGCACTCTGGGGTGGGGAGGGGGGTGAGAAGGAAAGAAAAAGTAAAAATAAATGTCAAAACACACTCCCTCTCTGCCTTCCCCTAGGTTTTTCTGTGCTCCAGCACTTGGCAGAGAAAGAAATGGCATGGTTCAATCAAAATTCCTATTGGCATTCTTACATGCCCACCTTTTTCATATTGTGTAACTAGGTGAATTGCCCCAAATTTTCCTCATCCTTAACCGTCCCGCCCTCCCCACCCCCCACGCCTTCACAAACACCCGTTTGCCACCCATCTATCAAGGAACATCTCTACCTATGATGATGAGACTGGCAAACAAAAGCATCCAAACCAATCAAAAATTTTTAAAAAGGGGCAGAGTCCAAACACAGTTCTCTGTGACAAACATCAGTTCTTAGAACATTCGCCTCTCCAGTCTACCTGGAGACCAGCGGAACACTCTTAAACCACCTGTACCTCTAGTCCATACCCGATATCCTCATCTTGCCAGGTTCCGTCATCGCTGTTCTAAAAGCAGCTGAAGAGTTCAATGATTGAAAGAATACGGCTCAAGGTGTACTACCAGGGCGCACAGACTGGACGGGTCAGCACCGAGAGAGAGGGGCTCCTTTCCTGGCCAGATACGCGGAACCCACAAGTGTCCGGGGCAGACCGTGCCTGTGCTCAGGTCCGCGACCCCCCAGGCAAGCCCGCGCCTTCGCCGGCTCCCTGCGGAACACGTGCGGCGCGAGGGGGACCAAGGTGGACCGCCCGCCAAACCCCCCCATTCACCAGACCATCCCAGCGACCCGTTCCTCGGCTCAAACTCCAGCGCGGCCGCCTGGGCAGCCAGCTCCGGAAAAATGCCAAAGATAAGGGAGGTCAGGGAAAGACGGTCTTAGGAGAACCCCAAGTGGGGAGAACTCGTACCCCGGTGAAGCCTTGGGGCAGCAGGGTGTGCGGATGCCGCCAACTCCCGGTTCCTAACGTCGGCTCGCATCCACGGGCAGCAGTCCCGGAGCGGTCTGATCCTCTGCAACACCTTGCGACCTGCCTGCACCGAGAGCCCAAGGGAAAGGCCAGCCGCGCCCCACCTCAGTTTCCCAGAGTCAATTTCGGGCACTCGCACGTTTTTTTCTTCCTCTCTCATCCTTCACGCCATCAATGAGAGATTTCCCAAAAAGTCCCTTAAAAGGTGCAAACTTGAAACTTACCCTCCGTTGGATTCGTCTTTTCCGCCCGTTTACGAAAGCGGGAAGAACGGTAACGGAAGGGAGCAGAGAGGGGAGAAAAGATCCGCTGGTATTTCTCCTGCTCAAATCCTAAAGATTGATGAAGATAGGAAGAGACGCCCCCTTAAAGCCGAACTCCACCTCATCCCCGGATCACGTGACGGCGCCCCGCGAGTAGCGCCCGATGCTCCCCCCGCAGCCACCCCGGCCTGGATGTCCACCTCTGGGGCGCGTTGCCTAGGAATTCTGGAAAGAAGGGCAATTAAACATATCCGCACATTGTTCGACACAGACGCACGGAACAGAGGAAAGTAAGCGCTCATCCGCACACTCCTCGACTCCCGGGAAGGCGAGACGCTTTTAGGAGGCTCTTCCAAAGTCGGAGCCGCTGTGTGTCCCTTTGTTTGCGGGTCAGTGCCATCTTGTGGCCGAAGTTATAACCGGCTGAAAAGCGGGAGCGGCCGCGGAACTCCAGAATGAAAGGGATTGGTATTTGGGAGAAAAGGAAGCGTGGAAGTCACCGCAACCATGCCACTAATAGGTTTCTCCCTTTCTTTTGTGACGTTTGTATATTTCTCAGACCAGTGCTGAGAAGGCTTTCCCCCATTTTAAAAGGGAACAAAGAGAAGACCTTATTAAAAAAAAAAAAAAATAGGTAGCAAATCTCGGAGGAGATAGCCTGACCCTGCAGTCCTTTCTGTCCACTGAGAAAATGCCGTCAGGTTTGTTCCCAGTGCCTAGCTGCATTTTTTAGGGGAGCACGATGAACGGAACATTTCCCTACTGGTCAAAAAGAGTCAATGCCATTTCCTCGGAGCTTAGTCTACTGCTGTACTGAACGTTATGAAGGAAAGAATGGCATGTACACAAGAGGACCTTGACAGTGGCAAACCCATCATGGTGCCGGGGGATTCTGGATAATTACTGATACACTGATCTTAGATGTTTTGCATAGTTGTGTTCCACTTTGAAAAACCAAAGTTGTGTATTTCACAAACACATGCACACAATAATTGTTTACTGGTGAGGATGAATACAACTTCTTCCAAATCAAGCTGCCAGAAAATAAAAAGTGTTCCTAATAAAGATAAACAACACTGCCTAGGATATGCGCAGAATAACAACTATGATCGCATTCTGTCTTCAAACTAAAACAAAACAAAATTTCAAGGAAAATGGAATGACCTGAACTTCACACTGTTAAAAAATGTTTTCTTTCTCTGGCTATTAGGCAAAATAAACACTATTTAAAGTGCAGTATAAGTCATAGCTGGTTTATTTATACAGTGATATAAACATTTCTGGGGTTTTTTTCCACAGGAAATATTTCTAAATTATTTGTCATTAGAAATATTTTTATACACTTGAAAAGGGAAAGAATTAAAATATCATGCTCATATAATAAGTGAACTACAATAATAGATGTGAGCATACATTTTACAAAATCCTACTACTGGTTAAACAGTAAAATGTCATATATATTTTCTTTTTAAGTTCTTTTCTTTCTTCTTCTTTTTTTTAACCAAGGACAAAAATATAAAGCCTAATTTAGGAACTTCAGTTTTTTAAAGAGCAATAACTCTTTAGATTTCTTGTTGCCTTCTGTCTACTCCATTCCCTCAAGTCACATTCTGAGAAGCAAGTTTGCCCCAAGGTTCTGATATCACATTGACTGTTCTCAGTCTACTGCAAGAATTAAAAATTAAGTTATCTAATTTTCTTTGAGGAATACATTTTTATGTAGCATTTTTACTATGTCAGCAAATATTTTAGAGTTGAGTATGTAATCTGGACTCATTAGACACTTTTTTTTCTGTATTTTCCAAGAATGTTAATAAAGGCATGTCTATAATAATGCTTAAACTACTGTGGCTCATGTAGTTTACCATTTTAATAACTGAATTGTTATAAATTGTCACCCATAAGGCAAATTTATAAAGCTGCATTCTTGAAGTATTAAATATCAAATACCAATCTTTGAAAGATCATTGGTCTCAAAGACTTTTCTATGTCAAATTTTGTGGTACAAAAAGAAGTTTCAAAATGTTCAACAACAGCAACAAATTGTATAATTCTCAAGAAATATCATTTATTAAGTACTGTTCCACAGTGTAAAACACAAATAAAATTTTTTAAATTGTAAAATAAAAAAAATTCAACATATATAATAATCAAATACACCATAAGATCCTCTTATAATGTAATCTTATGGAAGGTTTGACATAAAGTAATCTGAGTTCCTCAGAAGACATGTGCTAAAGAGTAATCTGAATTCCTCAAAAGATATACTAAAAAGAATATATGTATGAAATAAAGATAACTTCTTTTTCTACTGTTTAATGAACAGCCAATTGCATACTTTCTTATTTGGGATTCAAGCTAGATAAAACCTCATCTTTGCTAAGGAGAGAGAACTTTTTTCCATTTCATGTATTTCTTTCTGAAATTTCATTGCCATCTGGCCTATAAGCCATGACTAAGAGAATTAAATTAATGACCTGTTCTCATGTGCTCTTGGGCAAGTCTTTTTTTCTATCATTTAAACAGAAGAATAGGCTCTACTCATTAAATCTCTATAGACCTTAGTTTTATCATCTAAAACATTGTCTGGCTCTTTAAATAGCATGATTCAATGACTGCATAGATAAAAGTGTATCACTATATTTGCTGATAGAATTTATCCATTGTACCTTCTTTTTTGGTCTCCTGATAAATTTCTGCTGCAACGGTTAAAGATTCTAAAATGCTATTAGGCTCGATACAGGAAAGTTGTCATAAATTATGACTCAGAAAAATCTTGATAGACATTTACACTACATATGAAAACTACAAAGTGGATGCCTCTGAAGGAAAAAATTCCATTGGGGTAAAACTTAATATGAACCATGTTGGTGAATCAGTTCATATTCTACGCATTAATTAGGTGCTAGTTTTTCCTTCTTTCTGTAACTTACTTATTGTATTTATTTGAATCAGTGATGTCACAGAATATAGATCACAACATTATTTTATGGACCACTGAAGAAGAAAGAAAATGCTTCCAGTAAATCAATGACACATAACCAATTGTAAATGAATCTCAAAGTTAGAGTACTATAATATTTTTTTTTAAATCCTCATCTTAGAACCAATGAAATACGGGAGGTAAAGAGTTTTGACTAAATTGCTTAATATAATCAAATGGTCAATACAATCACTTAATTCAATTGTCTTTTAAGAATTAACTTGCAGAAAGAAGTAACAATTTAGTTAAAATGTTAGTATACAAGTAGGTAGGCAAGCAATTCAATTACCTCCTTTGTGTAGAGAAACTAAGTAGTATTTATGGATTTGTTCTTGATTTGAAATGAGAATGCACTTCAAGAAAGTTCTCATTTCATTACATAGACTACAAATTCAGAGCATTTGTTTTAAAACTGTCAGAATAAGACTCTAGAGGACTAGGGTCTTAAAATTATTTAGTAAATATACAAACATTCTCCTGCAGATCCCACCTTGTCTGACACCCTTTAGACAGTCAACAAAAGTGTAATGTTATTTTACAAAAGTGTCACATTGTGTATTTATTACATGGAATAATGAACAGAGCTTTGTGAATGTTACTATTATTGCTTTTGATGATAATTATTACTATTCCCTTCATATCTCCATACTCAAAGGTATGGAGTGGGAATAGCTGGTGAGAAGGGCAAGTGTGAATGCCGCCTCCAGACCTGCCATCATCTATGACAAATACCTCTGACGGTTCATCTGGCTCCACTTCCACCTCACACCACCCCCACCCCAAAATCTCATCCTTAATATTAGACCCTTTCACAACACAACACAACACAACACAACACAACACAACACAACACAACCCTACAGGCAGCCAATATCAGTAGATCAGACTTGGCTCCGTAATGTAAATCTATGTCACATCCCTGAGATAGGGCAATTTTTCCCAAAGGAAAAATTTAAAAAAGACTCCTATGTCCACATAAACATTACAAACTGGACAAAGGTGGTATGAAATGTTCCTAGGTGTCACTTTGCTTAGGTAAGTTTCCCTTCTTCATTCCTTTGTTTAAAGTCTAGATATTGCTTTTCTTTCCCCAGATACATAGAAATCTAGAAAGAGGATAAATATCCAAGGATGGCTGGGGTATAAACGGACTCTTCCGCACCCAGGAAATTGCTTGACTACTACCCTCTACTAGCATAGCATAAAGATAGAAATCACTGAACTGCACAGATTATTCAAAACTGTAGCTGAGAGACACCTGAGTGGTTCAAACCATTGTCTACCTTTGGCTCAGGCCATGATCCCAGGGTCCTGGGAAGGACTTCTGCATCAGGCTCCCTGTTTGGTGGGGAGTCTGCTTCTCCCTCTCCTTCTGCCACCCCCCCTACTTGTGTTCTCTCCCTCTGACAAATAAAGTCTTAAAACAAAACAAAACAAAACAAAACAAAAAGAACCTTAGGTGAGCCTTAAATATTACCCAGAAATTCTTGGGCTTGAGTGACTTCCGATTTCTCTCCTTTTAGAAGATACTTCGAATTGTCCCCCTTCTCTCCCAGTCTCCTATCTCATACCCTCAGTTTCAATAGACTCCTCCTCCCTTCTAAGTAAAAACCATAGAGCACTTACTCCCTCATTTCTACATCCCTCATTTCAGCAGTGACTCCTCTGTCCCAGCTGTTTCAACCCCCAGGCTTTGAGTCAGCCTAGGCCAGAGTTTTCCCAGCAGACACCCCAAACACCATGTGACAGAGACAAGCCACCACCACTGTGCTCTCCCACTCAATCCATGAACATAAAATTCATGAGTGAGTTGTTGTTTTATTCCACTAAATTTAGGAGGTTTGTTACAAAATAATATAACTATAACACCAGTTTATTTAACAATTCAGTTTTCTTGGTGAAACAATAAAATGAAAATAAAAATAAAATTGCTCTTTCTTGCATTGTAACTCCCTCACCCATGTCATAGTTTCTGTAGCTGTGTTCTCTTTCCTGGTAACTTCTCCAAAAACAAACATTTACTATCCCCATATTTGCTCCTCAAATATGGCCCACCTGAAACCATCTCTGCCATGACACCAATGATCAAAGCCAGTGGAAACAATTCAGATATTATTATATTTATTCTTTATGTTGAGTTTGACTCTCTTGACCAT